GCCTGCCTTGTGGTCTCTGTGTTACTAGTCTTGTGTTCTAGGATGCTCACCCACCACCTCACTCCTTCAGGCTCCAGAGCCTCCAGCTGTACCAGGAGCTAGACCTCGCCCACTGCATCTCCAGCACAGACCTGAACGAGGCCCGGAGCCACCGACGTGCCTGGCAGCAGAAGCTCAATGGTCAGATCCAGCAGGTGACGCTGCACCTCCTTGTCAGCATCTTCAGGTAGGGGTCCCAGCGCAGTGACCATCCGCCGACACCCAGGCTCCCAGCACGGTCACCATCCCCCCACCCCCCATGCTCGGGTTCCCAGCGCAGTGACCATCCGCCGACGCCCAGGCTCCCAGTGTGGTCGCCATCCCCCCACCCTCCATGCTCAGGTTCCCAGAACGGTGACCATCCCCCGGCACCTGGCTGGTGCCCAAGCTCCCAGTGTGGTCATCATCTGCTGACGCCTGGGCTTCCAGCGTGGTGACCATCCACTTGACCCACCAACCCCCGGAGTCCAGTGCGTGGTTTCTGGGTTTCTGGCCCCTGATGCTAAGGGTCCTAGTGTGTAGTTACCAGCCACCGATGCTCAGAGCTGCCCAGGGCCATGGCCTTGCTGAGGAGCTCCTGCCCTGCCCGCCTCTTTGTGGTCATGAAGTGGACAGGCTCCTTAGAGTCTCATTCTCTGCTCTCACTGCACACACTCTTCTCAAGGAGACCTGGTGGCACAGTGGTTAAACACTACCAACTGAAAGGCTGGCAGTTCGATTCCATCCAGCAGCTCTTTGGGAGAAGGGCCTGTATGTTCCTGTAACAGTGACGGCCCAGAACACTCCGTGGGACAGTTGTGCTTGGTCATGGGGGGGGAGCACTGCAAGTCCACATTGTCCCAAGGCACCTCACAGCCATGGCTCCTTCTTCCATGAAGTCCTTGTCTCTGGCTGCTCTGCCTCAGGGGCCAGTGGGGAGGGGCGCCTGGCACTGCGAATGAAGGGCCTGGTGACAGCAGTCACGGAATCATGGAGACAGGGAGAGGCCCGGGCATCTGCTGCCTTACAGCTCGCAGCCTGGAGGAGCTGCGGAGTCTCTGTCCTGTTACTGAGTGGCCAGGAGGTGGTAGCACCCATGGTCGTGGGCTGATGGACGGGACCAGTGAGCTCTCTGATGTGGGTGGGCAGTGGTTCGGGTTCCATGTGGTGGGTCCAGGCCTTGGGCTTGGTGCACCAGTCACTCTAGTTCTGATTCGGTCTATGCGGGCACCTGTCACATCCTTTCCTTTCTTCCAACCCTCCCGTCTCCTCTTTCTCTTCCAGCTCTCTTGCTGTTCCCTCTGGTTGGTCCCATGGCCAAGGAAGGCCACCTCGCCAGGCGCTGTCTGCTCTGGAGGGCAGCCCAGCGCTGGCTGACTTGATATGACTCCACGTGGTTGTTGCCAAGTCAAAGACGCAATGGTGTTGTGTTGACGTGCTCATCTGCACAGAGTGCCTCTTAGGGGAAGGTGGGACGGCGTCCTGCAGACCGTTTGCAGGGTCTCTTCGCTCACAGCCGTGTAGCCTGGAGCCCACAGGCCTCTGTACCCTGGAGGTATCTGGGCTGTGTCCTAGATCGCTCCTATCGAGAAGATACTGCAGTCAGGCAAGGCATGATTTCCAGGGCCCAGAAGAGTTCTGCTTATGCTCTGCTGCAGTCTGTTAAGTGCATGTTACTGGCATGAAAAAGTGTGAAATGCTGTGAGAATGACCACAGTGTGACCTGGAGACGGGAAGTGGGCACGTGAGGTGCTGTTGGTGACATGGCACCGGTGATGAGCTGGCCGTCACAGGCCCTCGTCTGCAGGAAGCAGGGTCGCCTGGCACCCTGGGGACGCCCGCATTGCGCCCTCCTGCTCATTGAAGCTGAGGTGTTTAGAAAACAGCTTATATAGCGCAGTGAGATAGTAAAAGAAAACATTAACAAAAGAATGTTGTGAGATTTAGAAAGGACGGTGAGCGGAGGGAGACAGTTCCTGCACATCTCTCACTTGCCTTCAGTCCGGTTTCTTTCCTGAAATCTCTCTTCTCATCGCTGACATTTCTGCTTGCTGGCATGTTCCAGTTCAGGCTGCGGCACTTTGTGGGTGTTAGGACGATGGGGTCACTCCCATGAAGATGGCAGCCTTGCGAAGCCCCTCAAAGTCACCGGGACCGGGATGGACTTGGCTGTGGACCTGGTGTTTGTGGGAAGCGGCTGGTCTGGCAGGTGTGTGAGTGGGTTTCTCACTCACCCCCTCCTGTGTCTGGCAGGGACGTGAAGAATCACCTTAACTATGAGCACAGAGTGTTCAACAGTGAGGAGTTTGTTAAGACGCAGCCGCCGGGGGCCCAGCGCTTCTACAAGCAGGTGAGTGGGGAACCTCTGTGTCTCAGGGGCCCAGTGCTCTACAAGGAGGTGGGGGGGCTCTGTTCTCAGGGGCTCAACACCTGTACAGGCAGGTGAGGGGGGAATCACTGGGTCTTGGGGGCTCAGTGCCTCTACAAGCAGGTGGGGGTACCTCTCTGGCGACTGTGCCCTGAACAAGCCGGCTCAGCAGCCTATTGCGTTTTCTTAACTGCTGCCTATTGATACTATTATAATAGTTTCTTGATGGTGGATCCAGAAAGTTTGACACACTCACTCTTCCTCCTCCTCACTCTGGTGAGATAAGTGGAACACACGATTTGCCTGCGTGACCTCTGCACAGTGGACAGTGCTAGTGTTGTGTGATCATTGCCACCATCATCTTCTAGAATATTCCATAGCCGTCACTCTGTGCCCCTCCCCTCACCCCAGCAACCACCAATCTGCTTGCTGTGTCTGTGGATTTGCCATTGTATTTTAAAAACAATTCCTACTTTCTCTCACTCCCTTTGTGTTAGTATTTTGCACGTACACACCATGTATGTCTGTGTGTAAATGTCGTATAGGATGCTAATGCTGGGAATTTGCTGACGTGTCTAAGCTGCTTGCAGAGCTCCTGCATTCCTGGCTGTTGTTAGCTGCCACCTAATTGATTCTCATGTGACCCCCAAGGCACTGAGTGGCACAGAGAGTTAAGCACTTTATTATAGATCTAAGGCTGGAGGTTCAAAGCCACACAGAGGCTCTTCCAGGAACAAGCCTGGGCATCTGCTTGCAAACAGTTGGCGGTTTGAACCCGTCACCTGCACCACAGGAGGGCACCGGGCAGTCTGCTTCCCGGAGGTCACAGCCCTGAGGCTCAGGAGAGGCTGCCTCGTTCTCTGAGGCTCATTTCTACACGGTGGGGGTGCTGGCAGCCTCCTCGGTAGGAGGCTGCGCTGGTGACCCCGAGGCTGTGCCTCTTGGTCACTTTGACCCCACTGGCTGCGCCGATGGACAGAGATGGTCAGTCTTCTCCCACATGATTGACACCCTTGGAGGGTCAGCTCTGAGTCCGTTCTGACCTGGTGGCCACGCCTGAATTTGAGTTGAGCTTCAGGTGGGGAGCGTGGTGGGGAATAACCTTTCCTGCAGGGTAGGTTAGCCCTTCCGCTCAGCGTGCACGGTCCTGGGGCCACCCCTGCACCCTGCTGACCAATCAGGGCCATCTCTGCCTGTGCGAGCACCTAGAACCATTTTGCTTACAGCTTCCTGTTGGGGTTTGGGGAGTCCCCGCCACATATGAGCGCATCAGTGTTCAGATGAATTTTTCAAGGGGCCTCAATACAGATTTCTGGAACTTTCTTTCTGTGTAACTCCCTTGTCTCTGAACTCTGCCCTGTGATGTCCAGTTGCGGTGGCTGCCCTGCCTCTGCTTATCCTCCAGGTTTCCGAGGCTTGGCACATCTTTTTGCCTCAGGACAGCTGGCTTTGAACTACTGACCTTCCGACTAACAGCTGCATGCTTTAACCATTATACCACCAGCCCATGGTCCCCTGTCTTGGACCCTCTATGGTACCTCCAAGCAGAAAGCTGGGCAGCTGTGGCTCCCTGCTTCAGGAGTTGCAGTCTCATTGTCCCCCATCAGTGTCTGAAGGCCAGTGTCACCCCTTCTGTCGTATCAGGATCTTAGCTGTCTGGTGGGAGAGCAAAGCTGAGCCCTCTGTCCAGGTGGGGTCTGGTCACTGCAGTTACCAGAGACATAGCTGGATCTACACATGGCTGCCTCGGGCACAGTGGTCAGCACCCTGGCACAGAGCAGTGTTGAGGGAGTGCTGTCCACCACTCCCACTATGAAATGAGGACCCAGTTCACTTGTCCCTTGCCTGGCCACATGGTGGTGCCCAGCCCTGTGCTCGCTGGGCTATGGGGACAGCATCTGAAGACAGACACTGCAGTGGCCTTGTGGAGTGCCCAGTCCAGCCACCTGTCCCCAGGCTGGCTAGCAAGGCACTGCGGAACAGGGAGGCTGGGACTTTGAGCAAAGCAGATGTGACTGCTGAATCCATGAGGGTCTCCGCCCTCATTCATCGCTTCGGTCAGTGCCGGTCTCTGTTTTCCCAGTCGTTTTGTCCTTCTCCAGAGACTTGTTCCTCCTGACAAGGTTCCCAGAGTCCATACGTTCCACTGTCCTTCCCCAAGTGCACTTGTACTTCACTTCCTTCGAGACAGACTTGTTTGTCCTTTCGGCTGTCCGTGGGCTGGTCAGTGCTCGTCTCCAACACCGTGACTCAAGGCCCATAATTCACAGCACATACGTTTTGAGAGAGGATAGTTTAGCATAGGGAACCATTGAGTCCCATGAGGAGGGTGGAAGGGGTTTGTGCAGATGGACCCCAGGGGGTATATCCACACTGCAGGGTGGGGCTGGTGAGGGCTGGCTACACGTGCCAGAACTGTAACCCCTTCAGCCAGCAGACCCCAGAACCGAGGAGGAGACACAGCTTTGCTGCTGCTGGCCTGGGCAGCAGGGCTTGGGGTGTTGATGTTTTGTGTTTGAAATGCCTCCTCCAGAAGCAGCGGTGGATTCTGCTGTGAGGCCCCACGGTTTCAGAGTTTAACTGCCCGCACGGGGGTTTCATGGCTCTGGTCTTCTGGAAATAGGCCACCAGGCTTTCCCTCAAGGCATGTCTGGGTAGCCTCAAACTGGGTGGATCTTTTGGTTAACAGCCGAACGTATTAGTCATTTTGAAATGGTGAGAGTACCGCTTTCAGAGGAGAGGACGTGTAAACACAGGTGCTTGTCTGTCGGCTCCTGCTCAAGGAGGCAGGTGCTGCCATGCGCTGAGCGGGCGGGTGGGTGACCACGGGCTCGCTGACGGTGCTGGGGGCCCAGCTGGGAGCATGTGGAGGCAGCTGAGCTGTGAGGAGGCTTCTTGTGTGTTCCAGGTGTTGGATACCTATATGTTCCACTCGTTCCTAAAAGCCCGGCTCAGCAGGAGGATGGACGCCTTTGCCCAGATGGAGCTCAGCACCCAGTCGGAGGAGGACAGGTGCGTCTGCCCTTAGATGGAGGGTGTGGTCGGAGGAGGACAGGTGC